GCTGGCACTCCTTGATGGATGGAGTGACCGCCGGCGGAAGCGCCATCATGAGGTCCTTGGGCAACACGCGCGTCCGAACCGCCTTGACCACGTGGTAGATGATCTCCTTGCACGAGTTCAGGAGTGTTCTGACCACACGGTGCCAAGCCTGCATCCATGACGGTGGCTTGACGTACATCTGAAGTTCGATTCGCGACGGTGCTTTGAACTGAGGCTGTCAGCAAGGCAAGCTCATGCGGTGGGTCCTTTCAATCAACCACGCGAGAGCTCTTTCCATGCTGGGGATCCCATTGGTGGCAGATGCCGATGCCGCGTGATGTCAACCGAAATGTGGCCCGGCTACCAGCGCTACGGGAACGCCCACGGAAGGTTTGCCAGGTGCAACGTGTGCAAGATCACGTTCAAGCTTCTGCGTTGCCCGGCGCCCTCCTCGGCATCATCTCGATTGCCACTGCCCTCGGCGACCAATACGGCAATGCCCTCGGCACAGCCTCTGGATTTCCGAGCGCCGCACGACCAAGCCGGCCAAAAAGGTGCCACATCCTCCGGGGATACCTCATGGAGTGCAGGTGTGGGACCTCCTGGATTCACAGGAACGCGAGGATCAACCGCCCGAGGACCTGGACAGGACTGGCTCCGAAGATCGCTGGCGACGACAACAACAACAACAACTACAACAACAACTACAACTACAACTACAACTACAACTACAACTACAACTGCTGCTGCTGCTGCTGCTGCTGCTGCTACTACGAGAGCAAGACCTACGAGAACTGCATTTTGTGGCCGACCTCATAGAGGAGCAGATTCGAGCCGGCAGGCTCTTCCTGTTTCAGAATCCTCAGAGATCCCGCATTTGGGAGGACGAGAGGATTCGTCGAATTCGAGACCTACCCGGTGTGAACTACGCAGCGCCTCATGGTGGAGCCTACGGAGCAGCGAGCCTGGACGGCAATCCCATCGTGAAGCCCTTCGGATTCTTTAGCAATCTCCCCGGCATCACCAACTTCTTGAACAACAAGCTCAGCGTGGAGCAGAAGGGTCAATGCGTGCCAATTCAAGGTCGCCACACACAACCTTCGCAGGAATACCCGGACTCTATGATCCATTTGGTACTACAACAGCTACTCGCTTGGATCTATCAGAAGGACCCAGCCAGGTTCAACCTGCACCACGTATTGGCCATCGCTCAGCCAGTTGAAGATCTGGCTCAGTGGAACGGCGTCGTGAACCAGCTCACCGACCGCTACGAGAGCACCGCCAAGAGAGCCTATTTGGTTGAGCCATCTTCGGACTGGGTAAAGACATCCCCAACCTCTTCCGCATGGACCTTCAGCGGATTCAGAACCTCAGCCGGCAGCTGAGATAGACGCGGACGCCAACCTGCTTCCACTATCCAGGCCGACAGACATCACCTTTCCGAACATCAAGAAGGAGATTCCCATCCAGAGTTAGACGGCTGGTTGCTCGACTGCACCTCAACATGGCTCATCCAACCTCTCATGGCAGTGTGCCAGCCCACGTCGTCGAGACAGCCAAGCACCTTCGATGTGCCACTTACGAGCGACCTCGACCACCTCACAAACCTAAGCCTTCAACGACTCCCTGACGAGGGCCTCACCATCCAGGACGTGCCCTTCGACAGCGACTCCACGCTGTTGACCTATACGGACGCCTCGTGGGCAAATTCAGCCCATAGCACGAGCCAGCTTGGAGTAGTGGTGACGCTGACGGTCAAGAACGTCACTGAGGCGATCGAGCCCGCCAGCATCTTGGACTGGCGTCCCTTCCGGAGCCCCAGGGTCGCAAGATCCACGTTGGCTGCGGAGGCCATGGCAGCTGATGAGGGAGCTGATCGCTCAGCCTTCCTCAACATGATGATTTCTCAGATCATCTACAACAAGCCGGCGCATCGCCTTGGCTCGAAGATGCGCTACTTGCAGGCCACGGACGCAAAGTCGCTTTACGACAGCGTGATCTCGGAGGGACGGATAAGCGCTCACTTCTCAATGTGCGAGCCATCCAGAAAAAAAAAAGCCCCTCGCATGTACCATGGGTACCGACGCCTCACCAAGGTGGACGTCAAGCTGCGTGAGGAGATGATGCTTTGGCTGCGTGATCCACGAGCTCAGAGCCGCTGATCGGTCAAAAAGAAATTGACCAGTGTGAATTTCGGCCTGGCATTTGGCTAAGGCCTCATCAGGTTGCAGCATGGTTGACCGATCTCACACATATGCGCGCCATTTTGGCTTGGACCCTAGGCGGGCCCTCTTGAGTCGCAATATCACTTGCGCATGCAGCGCAATCGCCATGGAGCAAAAGCCTTGAGCGCCGCCTCTGCTTTAGCCCTGGTTTTGATCAGAGTTTGTTTGTCTGTGTGTCTTCAATCCATCTAATCTCATGTAATATTGTCTACTGTGTCCTATCTTATCCAATCTTCTATCCATCCCATCATATTCTATCCTGTCCCATCTACCTATCTAGCCATCTATCAATCTATCGCAACCAAAATCATAATCTATCTACCTGTCTGTCTGTCTGTCTGTCTGTCTGTCGCTCTGTCGGTCTGTCTGTCTGTCTGTCTCCCTACCTACCTACCTACCTACCTGCCTGCCTGCCTGCCTGCCTGCCTATCTATTTCTCTATCTATCTATCTATCGATCGATCGATCTATTTATCTATCTATCTATCTGTACATTAAATGTAAATAATTTGTGCATTGCGTACTTGAAGCCAACGGAAGTTTGGAAGAGCTTGCGTGCAGGATTTCGGGTACTTGCCTGCACGTAGAAGTAGCGGTGCAGACATGTCGTGTTTTGTTGCAGTTGCGTGTGGCGAACAATGTTGAGCGAAAGGTCTCTGAACCCGCTAAGGTTGGGAGTGGGGTTGGGGTGGCAGCGGGCATAGTCTCTGGGCTTGGCCATCCAACGCCCCATGTTTCTAGCTTGTTGCAATTCGTGCCGCTTTTAGAGGTTTGACCGGTAAGAAGCGCATTGTATGTGCTCAATCCAACTTAGCGCTAATGTTAGCTGGCCACTACCCAGCTAGCGAAGCACATAGCTAGCTGAGTGTTTACCGCAGTTATTTGGCCAGCCAACCAACTAGCTGACAAGGTGATTCAATGAACAAAGCGATAGCCATGCTTCATCAAACTAAATGCCTCAGGATTCACACCAACAACGCTCAGCATAAATGAACAGATACGTAATTAAACAAATAGATAAATAAGTGAATCAACGCCTATAAGCACATCTATCCATATATAGATTTACAATATCTTGTGCTGGACATACACTCCTGCCTTGACACGTCTTACCGCCGAGGCTTCGTATCTCAGTCGAGTTGGTGGATACCAAAACTACCGGCAGGCAAACGGCTTGACTGCCCCTCGGCGTGTTGGTTGCCAACATCCTTCTTGCATTACCATACCGAAAGACTTCCGGGTGAGTATGCCTATCAAGCATGTTTGAGCTCAGCCTTGCATGTGCTAGGCAGTTTGTGCATTTCTTAGCCTTCTTTGTGGTCTTTGCATGAACTTCGCAGGCGGGGCTCTGAGCCGTGGCTGTCCGCTTCAGGTATTGTGCACCCCCTGATCCAGATGTCAAGTAGCCCTATTGAGCAAAAAGTCTGAGAAAGGTTTGAGGGGCCATGCGTGCCCCTATCGAATAGAGGCCCCCGCCTGGATGGGGCCGAAAGTGTTTCTCAACCGCCGGAAGCGGCACTCCGTTCGCCTGTCTTGGTGAGGCGGCTCGCCGTTGGCCTACGGCGCGGCGAACATGGGACTGCTGCTCTTTGGAGCGGCGCCCACTGCAGCGATCAACGGCATTGCACCCTGGGCTATGGTGTTTCCTATCAGGAATTCGCTTCCTTCACGGACTTGTGCAGTATTTGATTGCTGGCTTTGCAGGGGTTGAACGCTTGGCCCTTTCTTCAAGCTTGGGATTGGCCACGGTTTTCGAGGGTGGCGGAGTGAGAGACGTTTTAGACAGCAAAGGGACAGTTAGAGACATACATGCAGGCAACGTGTCAGTACTGTTTGCAGTCGAAAGAGGCCCACAACTGGAAAAAGACTACGTTTCTTTGACTTCACCATTTCCGAAGTAATTTAAGATTCGCAAGTGACCGAGGCAGTCTCCTGCGTCCCAGAAGCCAAACACTTCGCAAGCGCAGCTCAATTTGCTGCGAGCCTCGGCCATGCCGCAACATTTGTGAAGGCAGCGTAGGCAGGTGGCAGTTCAGTTGGCTCGATTGTTGATCGCCTTTGTGGCAATGTAGAAACGGCAGGTGCCTAAGTGCGCCGAGGCAGAATTTGGCCAAGCTCTTGATCCCTTTAATTGGTGGCATCGTCATTGACCACCTTGGGCAACTTGCCTGAACCATCCCGTATTTCAGCAGAGTGACTTGAGCCGAAAGCCATTTATTTTGTCCGAAGGCTGATGCGGGGCTATCACCTGGTTATCAGTGGTGCCTGAGCTGCTATTGCCAGGTGGCAAGAAATGTCCAATGTGGCTTGATTAGCAGATCAGTGGGTTGCTGGCTCAGGAGCCTTGCTTCTCTATGCTGCTGCAGCAGGTGCCGCGTATTTGCAAGCAGCAGCTCTTCAGCACTAATCTCTTCCCCGAGCAAGTTCGCTGCCTTTTTGCCCGCTGTCTTTGCAGTCGTTGTCCCTCACCGGAGATTTTACGTCGTTGTCAAAGTTAGCTGCCCAATATTGCCCAGTTCTTGGCCCCCTGGCACAAAGAGCTTCGCTAAAGTTGGACCTTCAAAGCCCTCAAGTATCTTAAAATAGGCCAAGTTTGCACACTGACCCAGGTGCGATTGCCTCAAGGTGAGGGGAAGACCATTGTCGGTGCCGTGGATGGGGGCGGCTAAGCGAAGCGAAGACCAAAATATGCAGAAACGGCCGCAGCATGCAATGGACACTTCCTTGAGACTGGATGTGGGCCTATCAGGGCCATGCGTTTGTGGTGTTTGCTCCATCTCCCTCACTGAAGCCTGAGGCTCGCCGCCATTCCTGCTGGTGCCTCACAGGTGAAAGAGGCCACAAGGTTGGTTCTGGGGAGGCGTGCTGGTACTGATTGCAATCCACTTACAGGCAGGCATTTGGCTTGCTTTTTTGGCCTTGCGCTGGGCAAAATCGCAATACCGAGGCAGGACATTTGCATCGTATTTGTGCCTGGGCCCAAGTCCAGCGGAGAAGTTTGGCGAAGCCTTGGCCAGTGAAACAGGTCATTCTGGACGCAAGGGCAGAGATTTTAGAGAGAAAAAACAGGTCACAACAGGTCATTGTGCAGGAGTTGCTGTGTTGCTCCTGTCAGTGTTGTGAAAGCAAACCGAAGCAAGCATTTCTATGTGGAGAAACCTGCTGACCCTCCCCAGGACCCTTTCGCCAAAAGAGCCCGGCCTGGGATGGGGCTCGATCCCAAGAACAGAGAGGCATGTCACTGGCTGAGTTGAAATTAGACCAAGGCAATATCGAGCAACGACGCCGCGCATGGTCCTCGCAATGCATTCATTCAGCCATTCAGCCCGGACTTGCCACCCCAGGCTCATGGACGCATGTTTTGACTCAGTTTTGACCCGCTTTTGGCAACAGAGCGTTTGGGATGCATCGCCCAATCGGCGAATCGGTCTACATCTCATATTGCTCATCCGGCTTGCTGGCCATGCAGGACACTTCGACTGGCATGACATCATCAGGCCATTCATGAACGTTGACCCGGACGCCACTGCACCCAAGAGCAACTTCCTTTGCTGCGGACACCGTGCTCGAGGAATAAGACAGCCGTCGTTATGGATTCTGGAACTTACTGGGTTACATACGGCTTCGCTGACAGCGCTTGGGAGCTTGCAGGCTGGCAGCCAGTCCTTGGACCAATGGTGTCGAACAGTAACTCGCAAAGCCTGCACTCTCCCACCCGACCGAGGCATCAACAGTTTCGCGAGGGTTCTAATGTGTTCTTGGCTAGTCAGGCGTAACGCGCCTGAAAGAAGGCCGACACAGCTACATTCCCGCGCGCAGTCAGAGGTTAGGGGCATTGCGCTTGAGAAGCGCAAGGCTGCATTGGCGTGGTGAACGCCACCAGGCCCCCCCCTTCCCCTCCCCAGCCCCTGTCCCTTCCTGCGTGCCATGGCATGTTAAAATCAGAAGGGTGGTCTATGCCGGGGGGTGGCATGTACTGGCGCAAGGCCGGCCGCCAATAGCAGTCATGCGTTGGGACCAAAGAGCCATTTGCGCCCAGAGGCCGGGAGCATGTGCGGAGGATCAAGCCGCTGCCCAGGGGGCCCAAAGCCCAGCCTTGAAACTGCAGCCAGCTTTCATGTTGCCTTGCTCTGTTCTTGCGTCAGGTTGGAATCGCGGCCACCTGAGGCCGGAGTGCGCCGGAGTGAACGTACTGTGCTTAGCATACGTTTTGAATTTGACCTCCAGGCTTCGCTCCCCGACGTGCGCACGGAGGTGGCGGCCCTAGTTCTTGAGCGCGAACATCATGCATGCCCACCTGGTAAGTGGACGGTCATGACTTTCAGGTGCACTCGGTGATGGCGAAACGCAGGTGCCATTGGGCACTGACTTGGCATTTCGTTATACCGGTTGATGTTGATCGGTTGGCATGTTTTGCTTCGCTCCTCGGGGTGATGCGAGATATAACGGGGTCTGAAGAACTGCTCTGCAAGGGATTGGCTGCTGGCGGACACCTTGCAAATCCAGTACCCTGCGCAGCATCCCCGGCGGTGAAGAATTTCCAGCTGTCATGTCGACAATGTGCCACTGAACTTATTCCGGGGCATTCCTCTTGGCCAACTCCTGTCGACATGGGCAGTGCATCAAGGAGAGGGCCAGATTTCATGGCAAAGCGCAGCGTTGCGGTCCATGCCCCGGGGAAACAGCGATCTCTCGGTGCACATTGCTTGTGGGTGTGCTGAGGCGGGTGCGGTGTATTACGCAAAACCAAGCCATTCTTGTTTGCAGAGTCTTGGGGTCGGAAGCTCAGTCCTGACATATCCTGACCAATGCTGGTCAATCAGCTCGCAGACACTGCCTCGAACGGTCGGCACCTCGGCTCCAGGGCGGTGGCAACTTCCCCAGCGGCAGGAGGCGCCCCATGCCCAGCTGGAGCGCGAACTTGTCTGGAAACTTGCAGGTGATCCCGCGAAGCGGAGAAGCTGGTTGCCTGAAGGCAGGAAGTGCCACAGCATGGCCATGGAGGCCTCGGCCAGCCCAGGTTGCAGCTTTACCCTTGCCTGATAAATGGCTGGTGTGGCGCTTGAAAGCAGAGCGTCCTGCGGATGAGAAACAAAATGCCGTGTGACCAGGTTTGCATTAAGGGCTAAGAGGTCGGCGCTGGATTTGCCACCCAATCAAGTATTTGTTTACAGCCAGGCGAGGCTAAGCAAAGGAAATTGCAGTGGAGCATAATTAGTGCAGTTTTCTTTTTCTTTCTGGTGCAGCTTGGGGCATGCGTAGAATATGTTGAATCTGGCGGGTCAATGCTACGCGTGCCTTTTGCCTCTCCCAAGTTCTTGAGCCGTTGGTTTAGGACGGATTGGTATATATATATACATATATATATATATATATATACGTGTGTGTGTGTGTGTGTGTCGTGTTTGCGCGGGCTGCCACAGGACATGAGCAAAGGTACGATGAGCGCTCCGACTCTGGCGGTTGCAAGCAGGTCCGAACCAACTCTGCACAGACCCTAAGCCGATCCTCAACCACCCCCGTCCCCGAGCCACGAGACTACCACCAACATCTATTCTTGGGAGAAATCGAAACAATGGCCAATGCAACAGCCATACATTTTGCCTGTAGCTCCCCGGGGCACTTGCGACTCCAAGGCAAAGCCCAACTTTGGAAGCCTGTTAGCGTACGCCACTTCTGCTATGCGCAAGATGCCTGCGCACTGGTCATGGTGCAACGCTGGGCTTGGAGATTGCCAAGGCTTGCACCCTTCTTGATGTGACGGTATGTAAGGGCTGGACACAGCGTGACATGTAGATCAATCGTAAAGCCCATACCTTGTGCTGAGGGCTCAGGCGATTTTCTTTTCTAAAGGTGGTCCTTGCACCACAAGGTGTTTGAAGGCCAGTCATTTTGTGTGCTTTTTATTGCTGCAGGCAACTGGCATCATTCCGGCGGAGCCTTTGCACTGAGGAGTCGCAGGACTACGAGCACATCCACTCACATCTTGATTCATCACCAACAGTACAGCCGTCAGGCATACAAGGAATGGAGGGCCAGGAGAAATGGCATGTTCCCGAGCACGCTCCCAAGAAGGCCAATAGTCAAAGCAGCAAGAATGTGGGTGCAGCACGTGAGCTTGCTTGGGAACGCTCACCTGACTCAGGAAAGTCTATGCAGCACAAACCATTCACGTAGTATGATCACTCAGACTTGAATGACTGTAAAATAGGCTCGAGAACCAGAGGAACGCAAGGCTCACAGCAGGGGAGATTGAACAAGCCAGGGCACTAGGCAAGAACTGTTTGTTCAAAGCCCCATTCCATCCCCAGCATCGATAATTGTAAGTTTGACTGCGGCCTTTCCCCAGGAAGCTTGGCATCACCTGCTGCCCCCTGGCGCTTCGTCGGGATGCCCACCTGAAGTCGTCAAATGGTGTCTCGTTCAGATGTCACACGCAACACACTCTCAAACACAACTGAGTCAGAGTGAGGCCGCCCGTTTGGTCTTGTGAACATGTTGGCCCAGTTTTAGAAATCCTTCATTTCCAGGCAGGCATAGGCACTGGCGCAGGCTTTTGTCTGAGGTTCCAGATTTTGCGGCACGAGACAGATGGGCGAGGAGGTGGAAGCTTGCTTTTCCAGGCCTGGTGTCTATTGGTGCCCCGGGCCGCGCCAAGATGCGGGTCCGGCGTGCGCAGGCGGGAGATCCCCGGCGGCCTGGTAGGCTGATGCGGGCAGAGACGGTGATCATCCCGAGGCCGAGCTGGACATTTACCATGGAGCATAGTGTGTGAGGAAGCTCTGCGCTTGTCACAGCAGTCGGGAATGCGGCGGTTGATTCAAGCCTTGCTCCTAGTTTGGAAGCGTCGCTCAGGCATGTGCGCCCATGGGAGCCAGGACCTTGGCATATTCTCGCACTGCAAGACTCCCGGGAGATCAGGCGCCCCAATCAGTTCAAATTGCAAGTGCGCTCTCAAGCATTACCACCAACATTGTAGCACAGCCTGCTGTTGCTAATGTGCAACGAATCTCGGTCCTGAAAGTCAACAGGCAGATAGATAGATGGATAGATGGACGGACGGACGGACGGATGGACGGACGGATGGATGGATGGATGGAGAGAACAAACATGAGAGAAAGAACCGCTTATATTTTTGAAACTCCCTTCCACCGGTTTCGCCTGCTGAGGGCTTGGGGTTTTGTGTTTTCGCGATTTGGTGTTGTTGAGTTTTGCTGTTTTGGTCGTTATCCCCCTTTTCTCTGCGCGAGCGGCTTTCGCATCCTGAAGGTACCATTGTGGCGATATTAATAAGACATTGGCGGGCGGGGGTACCACCTCAACATCAAGTGACGAACTTTGAAGATGAAGGTGCCGACCCCACCCCGGACAAATTCATCTTCGGAAAAGAACAACGGTCCCGATTCTCTAAATTATTGCTGGAGTGGTATCCCAAAGGCATTACGCGGAACTTGCGAAAAAAGGTCATGAGGAGACTGTTCATGAAGACTTGCTCCAGAACACGTCGCAGAACACGCAAAATTTTATGCACGGCACGAGTGAGTCGCTCTGTATGGGGCGCATGTCGGCAGCAAGCACGCTGCGCATGCAAGTAACTAAGTATGCAAGCCAAGCAAGCAGGAAAAAAGCCAAGCACACTGCCAAAGTCCATGAGAGCTTGAGCCTATATCTATCTATCTATCTATCTATCTATCTATCTATCTATCTATCTATCTATCTCTCTCTCTATCTATCTATCTGTCTATCTATCTATCTATCTATCTATCTTGTCTATCTTGTCTATCTTATCTATCTTATCTATCTAATCTATTTAATCTATCTAATCCATCTAATCTAGTTAATCTATCTATGCCATGTTTAGAGCTTGGCAGGCATTGGGTGAACATGTATCATCAAGTGTTATGGGTCAGCCATTTTGGATCAAGACTGAGCCAAATTGGCAGACACCTTTTTGGTTTTCGGTTATATTGTTGACTGGAGTGGGACTCCGGTATGTCTGGCGCCGATGCAGGCCTTTTGGTGGCCCATTGTCAGGCGCGGATGTTGCACCCGGCGGCCCTCATGGACTTCGAATCCTACGTGCAAGGACTGCTGGCCCGTGGGGAACGGGACCAGGCCGTTCGGCTGTGGAGGGCTGTTGTGGTGGTGGTGCACCTCCCCCCAACCGAGACCTCTGAATTTCGCATTCATTCCCTGGGGTCGTTGCGGGAGGTTCCCTGCATGGTGGAAGGGTGTGCTAGGTGCACAGAGATGCGTGGGGGGTTCCAGTTCCCGTGGCTCGGGACATGGACCAAACGCGCAGTCCTGGTTCAAGCGGAGGTTGGCCCGGAGGCAGCTTGGGACCTTTACTATGCGGGCCGGGACTACTTGGATGAGGATCAGCTTCGGGCCGTTGACTCGGGCATGCGAGTGCAGCAGCTGGTCCCCGAGCACGTGGCGCGTTTCATTGGCTACGTGGAGTTGGCCGGCCTCGAGGAGTGTGGCCTCGATCGGGAGGCCGTCTTCTGGGCGTGGAGGAGGTGGCAGGCAGGCCGGGTCTCTTGGCGAGAGCCGGCGTATGAGCCGATCCCCTCCGGCGACTGGGAGAGTCGCGACGGGGCCACTGCTTGGGCCGGGAAGGCTCTGGGCCAGTGGCTGGCTGGTTTTGCAGCGGGAGAGCGTGTTTTCCCCCCCCCTTGCATGCGGTGTGGTGCCCTCACACGGCACGTCATCCGGGACAGGCCGATCTGCGAGGAATGCCTCAGCCATTTGGTCTCTCTGGGGGATCCTTAGCGCCATGGCAGCTGTACCGACCGGGATCTACGCTCGCCTGGCGGGGGACGCCGGGGGGCAGTGGGACCCGGAGTCGGCTTTGGGCGCGGTGGGCGCCCAGCACACCGCCAGGTGGAGGCGCGAGTACGGGCTGCAGAATGATGCGGACTTTGCGTTCGCCTTCCGCTCGTTTGAGGAGGCGCTGACTACTCACAGCAGGGACCTGGCCAACTCGTGGGTGCGGGTGCGTAGCGCCCAGGAGTCCGAGCTGCTGCCGGCTGCGGCTGATGTGGTGGAGGGTGAGAGCCGGGGGACGGCTGTTCACCTTCCTTTTCGGCCTCTGGCCCCTCGGCCTTCGAGGGCTCCGGCGGTACGCCTTCGTGCAGTTCAAGACGAACCGGAGGCGATCACGATGCAGGTCCAGCGGCTCGGCGAGGCACTGCAGGACATGGGGGCGATGAAGCCGACAGGAGTCCTGACGGAGCAGCTGCGGCGCGAGTGGAGAGGATCATGTACTCGTTTGGCGCAGCGGTTGGTGACGGAGGCGGAAAGGGCCACGGTGTTGAATGCCTTGCGCACATGGGGTGAGGTGATCACCTTCATGCAGGCGCGTTCTCGCCCGCTGCCGCCGGAGGTGGTCGACCTTGATCCACGAAGGAACAGCTGCCCCGGCCCGTGCTACCCAATCACTGCGCTGGCTCACCAAGCAGGCGAGGGTGGATCTGGGGTTGAGCATGCTCACGCCGCCTGCGGGACAGGCGCGCCGGGCAGGGCCCAGGGGACAGGCAGCCGTGGTGGAACCGGTGATGCTGCTGAAGATGGAGCAGCGGATGGAGGAGCTCTACACGCAGGGCGATGATCGCTGGCAAGCGCTGCTGGCGGCATGGATGCTCTATGGAGGAGTTCTACGCCACAAGCACCTCACTCGGGCGGAGGTGCGGAAGGTAACCATGTCGACGGTCCATGCGCGCTGCATCAAAGGGAAGCAGCGGCGCCTTCGCAAGGGCTTCGACTTCTGCGTGCCCGGACAGCTGTCAGCCGGGTGGGACTGGTCGGCGGCCTGGCTCCATGACTTTGCCCTGGTGCCGGAGAAGCAGAAGGCAGACTGCGGGCTGGCGTTCCGTCGGGAGGGGATCCCGTGGTCGCTGTCTGATGTTTACCGGATGGTCCGGCACGAGTTTGCGGACTTGGTGGAGAACCCGGCGATGGTGTCGTCGTACTCGTTCAGGCGGGTTGGTACAACGGTGGGCCAGCTGGTGGGGTTCAGCGCCCTCGACATGGCGGCACTGGGCGACTGGCAGACCAAAGGCGACGTCCCGGAGGATGCTCGCATGCCGTTGCACTACAGCGGGGCCAAGTACGCGGCGTCCTTGTTGGCCAAGCACAGGATGGTGGGAGCGGTTGCGGCTCTGACCCACCACGAGTCCTGGGAGTTGGTTCCGCCGGCGGAGGTTCAGGAGGCGGCCCAGGCTGGCCAGGCGGCGTCAGCCCAAGCCAAGGCGCGGGACGCCCAGGTGGTGTGGGCGGCCCCCCCACGCCCCAAGGAGCTTCAGAAGCGCTTCGCCCTGACGCAGAAGCTCAAGCGGATCGCCAAAGCCAAGGCGGAGGCAGCTAAGCCAGCTACCACGATGCCGGCTTCGCTCAACGGCCGGCGCCTGACCGCAGTGATGCGTGATGGCAAGAGGCTATGCCCGGCGTTCCAATCGGGGCAATGCCCCGGGGAGCGAGTGTGCGGGTTTGCACACCTTTGCGCATGCGTCCGCTTGACGGGGAGAGCCTGCGGAGGGAAGCATGCAGCGGGCGTGTGCCGGGTGACGAAGGTGGTCATGGTGGAGGACCCGGAGGCGTCTATCCCGGCCCGGCCGTCAGGGGCCGCGAGCAGTGGCTCGGCTAGTGCCGAAGCGATGATGCCGTCGCCCAAGATCAAGGCGGTGCCCCAGAAGCGGCCGCCAGAGCCGAGCGGCCCTGGTGAGAAGCGGAGGAGGCGTGACGCCTGGCCCGAGGGTGACTCGGAAGCCCCGTCACAGCCTTCGCGTCCGGCGGCTGTGCTCCCTGTGGCCCAGGGGGACCAGCTGTTTGATGCCCTTGCGGAGGAACGCGCTGCGCAGGTGGCGACGTGCATTTACCAGAATGCGAAGGGTGGCCGTTTGTGGTTGTCCGGACTCCCGAAGCAGGTGGAGGCGCCCAAGTTCCCGCCCGTGACTCTGCAGATCATTTGCCTCCCGAGCAGCCCGGAGAGCCGGGGGGGTGTGACATTGCCGGGGGCGTTCCCGGTGTACATGCCCATCACGAAGCCACGGGACCGCACGGAGGGCTGGAAGAACATGTGGGCTGTGCTGCAGCAGACGTTGGCGGCTGGTGAACAGGCGCTCGTGCACTGCATGGCGGGCCGGCACCGAGCCGCGGCAATGGGCATCCTGGCCCGTGCAGTCTTGACTCGGGAGACCATCTCGGAGTCGGAGGCGTGGATTCGGGCCCGCAGAAACATTGAGTACAGCAAGATCGCCCGCGACAAGGACGGAGCGAATGCGGCAGGAAACGAGGGTGGGACCCTCGTGGCCTTTGCCGGTGGGCTACGTGACCACGGTGCGCTCGAACATCCACCTGCGCATGATGAACGATGCGCCGCTGTGCAGCCACAAGCAGGCGCGCTCTGGTGCTGGGCGCTTGAGGGATCCGATCCTGTGCGACACCTGGGAGGAGGCGTCAGCGTGGGGGCGGACTTTGTGCCACCTTTGCCAGGTGCGAGCTCCAGCTGGGTGGCGGCGCAGTGAGTAGACCATGGCTGATGTTTTGCGGTTTTGCCTTGTAGCGCCCCGGCGCATCCAAATAAGCTTGGGTCCCCATTTTGCACGGGCCTCAGCCTGTGCCGACGGGCCCGACTCTGCTGAGAGCGAGAAGAAAGTCGATGTGAGGACGAACTGTTTTAACCCCAGAACCTCTGAGGCCCCCCCCCCCCCCAAGGGGTGTGAAGTTTGGCTGGGACCTTAGGTTTTGGGGAGAAGTGGAAGGGCGAGTGACAGTCCCCCGCAAGTGATGCTGGGACGGGGTCTGCCTCAGCCCATTTCGTATTGCAGGACTAGATCCGGCGTTGACAGCCAGGCCGGGGAGTGACCCCGGCG